CTATCCTCCATGAGGCCCCAGCTGCCTGTGAGAAGGGAAGACACGGGACGGTGTGTCCCCCATCGGGGGCACAGATCTGTGTGCAGGGAGCCCAGAGGCTTCTCCCCACAGCTGTGCGTGGCAGATTCCTCTGGCCATGCATGGTGACTGGGCGGAGGACGGGGGTCAGGAGAGTTAGCCCTGTTGGGCAGCGAGTTAAGAAAAGGGGGCTGGGGCTCTATATGTCCAGCCACTTTGGATGACTAGCAATTTCTCACCAACCTAAACGCACGTTTACTGTAAGACCCAGGAATTCTACTTCTGGGTATTCACCCCAAGAGAAGCTGGAAACAACTCAAAACTGGAAACTGGAAACAACCTTGGCCTCGAAACTGGAAACAGTTTTATTAAAGAGAGCTGTATTATTGTATATTATACTATTCCTCTACTTGTAGCAGAAAGCTTTGAGTTGGCCAGGAAGTGAAGTCTAACAATACTCAATTACAAGACTGCAAATATATATTGGCACACTCTATCGAGAACTACGCTCTCACCTCTGGAGAAGCGAAATTCTCTGCTGTGTGCGTCACACCTGTCATTTCACTTAATCCTCATACCGAGCCCATGGGGTGGGCATTATTATCATCTTTTTAAAAAGTATGGAAACTAAGACCTGTGGAAGGCAAACAACTCTCTAAAGGTCACACAGCCCAAAGACCAAGGCAGGATGGGGTTCACGTCCAGGTCTCTGTGGCTGCAGAGCTGAAGTCCTCCGCCTGCACCATGCTGTTAGGCAAGGCACAGGGCACACGGTACCTGTGTGCTCGACCTAGAAATCTATTTTCTAAATAAAGGAACGCTCCCCCACATCCAGTCTGCAAAGTGAGAGAGTAAGTCCAGGCAGAAGGAGGCTATGTCTAAGTTCGTTATTTTCACAGATACAGAATGTGGCTTTAAAAAGCCACCTACAATTCTACAGGAAGACAATTTTTTGTGCAATTTTGTTTTGTGCCTGAAAAATATCAGTAGGTGAACAAAGTTAGGGCAACAATGTCCACAGAAGATGACTTGGAAAAAAGAATGCCTTTGAACACTTACCAGTTTCTATTCTATTATTGCTCTGAGTTTGTCATACCCCAAAATGTCAATGCTATGTAATAAAGCGATGTGGCATTTTTTCTTAAAATTGATTTCTATTATAAAAGGAAGTCCATGTGACTTTCAGAATAATACTGATGGATATAATACTACATATGAGAAATATGTAATGTTTAATATTTAAATATGAAATGATATGATGTTGCAAGTATCTGAGAGAGAGACAGAGTAAGTAGGGGATATATTTTGCTAGATAGCAGAGTTCTACATATCGTCACTCACTACTGCCCGGCCAAAGCTCTTAAAGGTCACATGCAGAGAAATCAAGTGATTGGAGAAAGTCCTGGTTAATGTAAAGTGGAGAACAGTGTGTTTACACTTTTGCTTGGATATATAAATCTTCCCTTGTGTCTATTTAATAAGAGTCCTTCTTCCACAAATCTGAATTTTGTCCTTAACACCCATGTGGTGTTAGAAACTGCTATTTTTTGTTTCTGAATTTTCTTGCAACTTGAGTACTGACCGATATTTTC